GAGTTGATTAATAAACAAAACAAAAGGGCAAAACAGTAATCAAATATAGCTGTAGAATTTAAGAAATCTACAGCTGTCAATTTTTGGGTTAATTTTGGGTGTGTTTATATACATTGAATGGTATAGGGTTTCTTTATAGAATTATGTCTATGAATGAGTATTTAACTAATTTTCTATAGTCTAAACTACAAGATGAGGGAGGTTTCTCACACATACATTATCAAGGTGTCATTGAGGTTTGAACCAGAGACCATCTACAAATCAAGGTCTTTTTTTCATTGGGCTAGATCCCGTTGATTAAATCCTTCAAATTTTATAAGAAAGAATGTACCCCAATCTCTAGCTCTAGGGCACCAAGCACTATCTAGGGCTGCCCATCATAGATCCCGCTTTCCCATCCATCATTTGCTGCATAAATAAAATATTTTCACAACATATTTTTATTTTATTTAGACAACTCTTATCCGCACTCTAAAATGTTTTATTATTTTAAAACACTCATAAAAAGAGTGCTCGATCACATTTTAGAGTGTAAATAACAGCTCCTTTTATTTATTTTTAGCTTTAGTATTTATTCATTTATGTTTTTGTCATGGACCAATTCCATTTGGCTCATTAATGGTCAGTTCACAACCCGGATTCGACGGATGGCCAGGCCCAACCCGACCCAAAACTAACTGCAAAGTTAAATTTGCGGTTATACGCGCCTGCATAAACAAACAGAGCCTTAGGGTTCGTTCTCTCTGTACTCTGTTGCAAGAAAGAACAAATTAGCGCGAGCTCAGTGCCCAGCGATAAAACGTTTTCCAGAATTTACCGACCTCGCCTACGATTACATTTTCATGCTTACCAATTTCTCAAATTCAAGCACTCGTATTTGGGTTTCCGTACATTTTTCTGCTTCTGCGCCTCTAATTTTTTAGGGTTTATATACATCTTTCTCTGTTTATCGAGGTACGCTACTACATCCCCTCTCTCGTTCATTTTTGGTTTTTTTTATTCACTGCTCACTCATTTTGAATGGCTCTTGCGCATGAACTTCTTGCTGAGACCTAGGTTTGTGTTCTTTCTGAGATAAAAGAAAAACGAGTAATCAATAAGCTTGAGACAAAATTGGTTCTAATGGGTTATGGGTTTATATTTTATACCTTCGATTGAATGGAAAATATATTGTCCTTCAAATTTTATTTTGTTGAGCTTGGAATTGTGTATTCACTTTTTGTATTTTAATATAGGTTGAGTTCTGATTATAATAACTGTGAAGTATAGTGGTATAGGAGAGAGATGAATATTAGTAAATGTCCTTGATGTGAACAAATTGCAAAGAGAAACATCTGTGTAATGGCATTGAGAAGAATGACAGATCCCAAAATGAGAAGAATGAATCATGAATAGAACAGTTTTATTCTTTGGCTTGTCTAGTGTCTTTTTTGTTGTCTTTGTTTTCTGTAAGTCCATTTTTTTTACTTCTTTTTGTTGTTAATGAAGGTACTGGTTTCTTATCAGAAAATGTGATATGTCAATTAAGTCAAATGCATGCAATTTTAAGTCCATTTAATAGGAAATTGTATACACTAATGTTATCACAAATCATTGTTATTTCTTGCTCAGCATTGAACAAAAGCATCATAAACTTTGAAGATGAAGCATGAACTTTTTGCATATTCAAGTTTTTTAATTCAACATCGAGAAGAATTGAATAATTGATACAGTGACAGTTTTCCAAAGTTTACCCATACTTTTTTTAATAATCCTAGAATCCTATCAAGGAATCTCTGTGGTTTTTAGCGTTAGCGCCATAGGTGAACAGTTCCATATCTATTGTTCTGCTAACGAGAGTTTACTTTCATGTTTCCATTGTGTCTCTTGAAACAGAAGCCTGCATTTGCAGTAACCATGGTTGATGCAGAGCAAGTTGTGGAAGGTGATGCGTCAAGCTGTCTAATAGATCAGCTTGGTAAGGCATTACTGGAACTAAATGCTCACAAGGATACGTCTGAGGGCAGGGTTCAGTGGAGGGAAATTGAAGAGTACTTCCGCAACCTTGAAACAACACTGAAGAAGAGATTTGAAGAGCTTGAAGTCAAGGAGAAGAAATTTGAGGAGCAGGAAGCTGAAACCTGTGCTTTGCTTATGGAGAGAGAGGAAGCTGTTACTGCTAAGGAGCAAGACCTGTTGGATCGAGTGCAGGAGCTAAAAGATGCTGCAGTTGCTGCTATTGCAGACGCACAATCCATTCACCAGCCAACAACTTCAGAACCCGTGGAGGATGGGGATAACAAAAACATCAAGGTAAGCAGCTCCCTCGGTGATATAAATTCACCAGAGGAGGAATTTCCTCATAAAACAGCTGATAATGCTGAGGGTATGGCTCTTGAGGTTAAGCCACGACCAGAGCTGACCCAATTTTGTGAGCAGATGGATGCAAAAGGGCTTCTGAGTTATGCTACTGAGAATCTTAAAAAACTAAATGTTATTCGTGAGGAACTTTCTCTTGCACTAGAAAGTGCAGGTGAACCAGCACGTTTAGTGCTGGATTCACTGGAGGGGTTTTACCCTCCTGATGAGACTAACCAACCAGAGGGTAAGAAGGATGCTGCCCTTCAGGGCATGCGCAGATCCTGTCTCATGTTTATGGAAGCCATGGCCACCTTATTGGCAAAGGCTGACCCAGGTGCTGATCACCTTTTGAACCCTGAGACCAAGCAGCAAGCCAAAGCAATTGCTGATGAGTGGAAGCCTAAGTTGGCTAGTGCAGGCATTGATGCTGCCAATGGAAATTCATTGGAAGCAGAGGCATTCTTGCAGCTCCTTGCAACTTTTAGTATTGCTTCAGAGTTTGATGAAGAAGAACTCTGCAAGCTTGTTCTTGCAGTTGCTCACCGCAGGCAGACACCTGAGCTCTGCCGCTCCCTTGGGTTAACACACAAAATGCCAGGTTGGTCATCTTTTAACTAACTGACCTGATGCGGTCTGGAGGCTAAGTCTTTGTTTCCATAAGATGTCCTATCGGCCTTGGTAGTAAATTATGTTAGTTGAGAAGTCGAGGCAGGTGCCACATTCATTTTGCTACGTAATGATAATTCTTTTCTGGTAAGATGGGTTATTCGAATTTTGGAAGCAGATTTTTCTGAAACTCCATTCTTTCTTGCAGGTCTTGTTGAATCAATGGTCAGAAGTGGGAAACAAATTGATGCTGTACGTTTTATTCATGTCTTCCAGCTTACTGAAAGTTATCCCCTTGTGCCACTTCTGAAGACGTACTTGAAAGACTTGAGGAGAAATTCCCAAGGCGACAACACGGGAGATGCTACCGGTGCACAGGTATATTTTAGTCGACCAGACTCAAAGCTTGTCAATAATTTTTCTGATGATCTCTTTTTGTTGGTGTTTAAAAAAAAATGTAGGACGATGTTAATGCAAAAGAACTTACTGCACTGAAGGCTGTAATAAGATGCGTTCAAGAGTACAAGCTTGAGGCGGAGTACCCCCTTGATCCACTGCAGAAGAGGGTGGTTCAACTAGAGAGATCCAAAGCTGATAAGAAGAGAACTGGTGAATTTGGTAAACGCCAACAAGTAAAGAAGCAAAAAGGCAGTGGAAGATGGCGTGGATACCGTGGCCCTGGTGCTGCTGCTGCCCCTGCCCCCACTGCTGGTAGGCATGTGCAACCAGTTTTTGGTGAGAGGGCAGCATATGCTGGGATATCGGAGAGGTATGCTCTTGCAGGTCCACGCACCTATGATTACCAAGTTCCCAGCCAGCCTGCATATGCTTCACAAGCTAATGATCAAAGGTTATATTACTATCCTTCCCAAGATGACAGAGTTCCACCAGCATCTTATAATGCTACGCCTCCTAATTACGGCAATTACGCTGGTAGTGGGTTGCCGTCGCAACACCAGCCGTACATGTAATCTACGTATGCAATTATTGTAGAATAGTAGGCCAGCGTATGGCAGAAGGCGGGATAAACACATTGGATAACCCTTTTGCTTCTCCTATGTAGGCTTGTATTTTGATATGCCTTGCACAGATAGTACTTTGCTCTTCTGAATCTTAATCAACAAAAATATTTTGTTTAGCTGACACCGGCTCGTGATAAACTTGTGAGAAATGAATTTGTTGTAAGAGACGCTTTGCTAACTCCATAGCAGATAACTGTAATTTGCTGGATGGGATGGGGGAGGGGAACCATGAGCCAACAAATGTTTTCTTTGAAAGCACAATTTTGTTAATTACTTTTTTTTTGTTTAATTCGTTGGACATTAGGAGATGGGAATTCGAACAGAAGACCTCATATGAATAGGTAATTGTTCTTAATTGAGTTACAAGCCCCTTTTACTTTGTTAATTACCTTTGATTATTGATCAACCATGATTAATTAGGTTTATTGTGTAATTAATTTTAATCAAGTTTTATCTTTTCCATATTTAATTTTTCTTGATAGATTGAAAACCAAGTAACCCAACACCTACTTCGGTTGTAGTTGTACCGTCTAACTCAAACAAGAAAACAAAATAGGGATAAATTAAAATTAAAGTAAATTTTTTTTAAAATAAAAATAAAAATAAAAATTATACATGTTATTTTTTTTTCTCTCTGATGAGAACAATCTGGTCAGAAACTGAAAAAACGAATTTCGTTGTGCACGCTGACTTCTCTGGAAGAGACTCTGTCCTTGTCATCATCATCTTCTTCTTCTTCTTCACTCTGTAAAAAAGGCTCATTTCCCGATCTGGCATCATCTGCACCATTCGACATCTCTCAGCTGCAACTCAATGGCAGCGACACCAAGTCACCTCATCTCAACCTCCATCTCCATCTCCATCATCCTCCTCATCTTCTCATCGCTGATGGAGTTTTTGGTTCTGGCCTCAGCCAATCCCACCAGCCCTGCGCTTCTTCTCCACTCACTCCCTGCCATGGTCTTACCTCTTTACCTCTCCACCCCCAATTCTTCGTCTAGGACCTCTTCCAATCCCCGTCGACTCCTCCAGAGATCCGAGTCCCTCAACCACCCCAACGCCCGCATGAGACTCTACGACGATCTCCTCCGCAATGGGTACGTACCACCAAACACCTTACATTCTTCTCTGTTTATTATTATCATTATTGTTATTCTCAGTTTTTCTGGTTGAGTTTGAGATTGGTATTTGGATTGGCATTGAAATTGTGTGGTGGCGGGTGAAAGGTACTATACGACGCGGCTTTGGATCGGAACGCCTCCTCAGAGATTTGCGCTTATTGTGGATACTGGGAGCACTGTCACCTATGTGCCTTGCGCTTCTTGCGAAATGTGTGGCAGACACCAGGTCAGTTCTGCGTCAACACATTCATCCGCTACATTTACTATACACTCTGATCAAACAATTGTGTTAACTATGGGTTAATATAAGTTCTTCTCTTGATATCGAAACCATTTGTTGTGGGTTGCATTTGAGGTTAGGATCAGATCTCCTTGCTTACAAGAAGAAATATAGCCAAACATGTTCCAATCACATAAAAAAGTATAAACGGGGGAAATTTCGGGGGGGAAGGGGGGTTGGTCATGATCACTCTTCTAACCCAAAAAGATCTTAAGAACCTTGAAGTTGATTATTTCTCTTTACTACCAAACCTCTACTGAATATTTAGTTCTGTATGCAGACTAAACATAATAGATTTTGGGGGTAAACAATATTGGTGTTTTATTTTCAACTTTTCATCAGGACCCCAAGTTCGATCCGGAAGAATCGAGCACCTACAAAGCTGTCAAGTGCAACATAGATTGCACTTGTGACAGTGACAAGGTGAATTGTATTTATGAGAGACAGTATGCCGAAATGAGTACCAGCAGCGGTGTGCTTGGTGAGGATCTTATATCCTTCGGCAATCAAAGCGAACTTGCACCTCAACGTGCAGTTTTCGGTTGTGAAAATCTTGAAACTGGAGACCTCTACAGCCAGCCTGCTGATGGCATAATGGGATTGGGCCGTGGCGATCTAAGTGTGGTGGATCAACTTGTTGATAAAGGTGCAATAAGTGATTCTTTCTCATTATGTTATGGTGGAATGGACATTGGTGGAGGTTCAATGGTTCTTGGTGGTTTCACTACCCCATCAGACATGGTCTTCACCCATTCGAACCCTGTACGAAGGTGTGTGGTTTAGAAAACTTTATCTCCTACATATACTGCAACATGTCCAATTTCCTAGAAAATACAATCAATACATCTCACACATTTACTCTAGTTTCGGGATGGAAACAGTCCATATTACAATCTTGATTTGAAGGAGATACATATTGCGGGAAAGCGATTGTCTTTGAATCCAAGTGTCTTTGATGGAAAACATGGAACAGTCCTGGACAGTGGCACAACATATGCTTACCTACCAGAAGCAGCATTTCTAGCATTTAAGGATGGCGTAAGATTCTCTTCTGCCCTTGTTGATTACTTTAGATTAAATACTGTCTTAATTTTGTACAAGACCATATAATAAAATATTCTTGCTTGTCCTCAATCTTTTCATTCTATTAGATGACATCTTGCAGTTCTTTCTGAATGATAATTATTAAAAGTCTCATTTGAAATTGATGAGCATGTGGTCGACTAGAATTGACAAAGCGGACAAGCAATAATCTGTGTCTGAAATGTAATGGAGATCTATGTAAAGATCAACTAGGAATTCCATTATACTTGTAATTGTAGTCAGAGTGGAATACTTGCACTTCCTCATTTGAAAATGAAATTTGGTATTTCAAACACTTTGGTTTTCCTAGAAATCCATGACTAGCTGTTCATAGAACTTTTAGTTATGTATTATTTCATTGAATGGGCGATCAAAGTTCTACCAATGTCTCCACTTTTATCGTTGTAACTTCTTTTTCCCCTTTTCCCTTATCCTTATATGTGATTGCAGATCATGAAGGAGCTTAGTTCCCTCAAGCAGATCCGTGGCCCTGATCCAAACTATAATGATATTTGCTTCTCAACTGATGAAAGGTATCACATATAGAAAACTAAGAGCTTATTTTGTTATACAGATAAGTTATTGCCTACTCTGGTGCAAACTAGATTATAAGAAAGCCCATCGAGGTCGCAATTGCAATTTTTTACACTAAATTTTTTGATTTGTTCAAATACATGAATAAGTTGTGAATAAGGTCACAAGCCCATTTTAATAGTTTTATAACAATTTTGATTCAGTGAGGTCTCCCACCCGTCAGACACCTTTCCAGCAGTTGACATGGTATTTGGCAGTGGGAAAAAGTTTACATTATCTCCTGAAAATTACTTGTTCCAGGTAAGTGTTGAAATTTAAGCTTACCCCTTCCCTTCTTTCTCAAAACACTTTTTTCTAAACCACATAAAACACGATATGTAATTTTTATTATGCAACTTTATGACTTTTCCATTGGTTATTTGATGTCGCTAATTGAATTCTTCTACTTTATTGTAACATCATCAATTATAAAGCATTCAAAGGTCCGTGGTGCTTACTGCCTTGGGGTTTTCCAAAATGGAAAGGATCCAACTACTCTTTTAGGAGGTAAATGCTTCACAAACAGTCCAGAATTCTCTATCTTACTTTTGTGAATTATCAAATTTACCCCATTAACTTTATGAAGCACTCTCAATTAATCTTGTTATGCCATGTTTATGATAGGAATTGTTGTCCGCAATACTCTTGTAACATACGACCGTGAGAATTCCAAAATTGGTTTCTGGAAAACTAATTGTTCAGAGTTGTGGGAAAGACTTCACGAATCTGTTTCGCCGCCAGCAATGCCTCCTGCTTCTGATGGCAAGAATTCAACTCCAGGAGTGACGCCTACATTAGCTCCAACTGGAGCACCACCTTATGTACTTCCAGGTAGTATTCTAAGTCTTTCTTTTCACTGGCATGGATGCCTCATTTTTCACTTGTCCTTAAAATTATTGCTGTTATATCATTTTTATCTTACAGTTGTGTAGGTTTACTTATCCAATTGCTCAGAGGTTATGTTTGAGGTAATGTTCAAAATGAAAATTTTCAAAAAACCCTGATCAAATGTAAAAATGGAGATAAATCTGAGGCAAACAGGGGAAAGTGAAAATAACATATTTGGGAACTCTCTTCTCTTCTTAAGTTTAATTTGTGAACTTTTCTGTTATCATTTCTTATTATTTTTTATGTCAACACTAGTGTAGATTTTTAATAAGAGAAATGTGATTTTATGCTGCACTCTTTTTTGAAAAGACAGCCTTATTGCAATCCCCCATTTTTATTTTTGTTTTTAAGACAAATGAATTACAATGTCTCGTTCACCTTGATGGACAGGTGAACTCCAAATTGGAAAAATAACATTTGATATGTCATTGAACATAAGCTACTCTGATACTCTGATCTGAAGCCCCACATTACAGAACTAGCTGAATTCATAGCTCAGGAATTAGAAGTTAATACATCACAGGTCAGGAAGAAACCACATGCGCTTATTTGATTGATATTTACTTTATATTTTCTCACCGATAGTTCAATACTGTCGTACTGACAAATAAATAGATAGATATCCTCTGTTGATACTCAAGTTTTATGACGTTTAAGTGCATCTTCAGCTTAGGGTGCCAATTTTGAATGGATTATTTCAGGTTCATATGTTGAAATTTGCTGCTAATGGAAATGATTCCCTCATTAGTTGGGCCGTATTTCCAGCAGACTCTACTGACAGCATTTCCAATACAACTGCAGCAGTAAGTTTGCACTTTTGAATTGCAATTAGTGTTTGTGCTGACGTTCATAACTGTTTGTTTGCTTGATGATTTGGTTCTGCCCACAGGTTATAGTTGCCAGGCTCGCTGAACATCACTTGCAGTTTCCTATTATGTTTGGAAGTTATGAGTTGCTTGGATGGAGAGTTGAGCCTAAGGAATTACGGTAGTTTATATTTACATATCTTTCTTACGTCCTTCCCCCTTTTCTACTAGAATAAAATGGAATCGAAATAAATTTCCTATATGAGTGTTGGCATATAGATAATGATTTTAATGAATTAGCTTAGCTATCTTGCTGTTTAAGAGTTAAGATGCTATGCCTACATCCAACAAAGAATAATATGTAATAATAAGATGCATGCCATGTACTGGTGCATGACTGGAGGTCCAAATTCCCTGTTGATGCATTCAGAGTAGTTCAATAGAGATCACGGTATCATACGTAGCAATTTTCGTAATATTTTTTTATCCTGAATTGTGCAGGTCATGGTGGCAGCGCAGTTATGTGGTGGCTTTATCCATTTTAGGAATTCTAGTGATTGCATTATCAGTTGTTGGATTGTGGTTTCTTTGGAGACACCGACAGCGGACAGTCAATCCATACAAGCCTGTCAATGCTGCTGTTCCAGAGCAAGAACTCCAGCCTTTGTGAAAATTTTGTAGCTGTCTTTGCTTGTGGTTGACGGCATGGCATGGCATGTCTGCCATTTGCATTTTGATTCACATGATTAGTTACCAACCAAATTCTGTAATCACAATTACTCAGTTGATCAAGACTCTTGCTCCATAGGTTGAAGAATCATTCTTTGCAATGCCCATGAAAGGATGCCATAAATTCAGATAGTAGAGAGAGAGAGAGAGAGAGAGAGAGAGAGATAGGTAGAACTACTCACACTTTGGTTCTGTAGACATCATTCAATTTGTATATGAATATTGGAACACACAAGTGAATCAAAAGTTTTCCCATGAAAGGCTTCTTTTCAATCTCTTGTTTTTTGTATTATTATTGTTATTGTTTTCCTGTTTTATACAGGTCATGTGATACCATGGACAATGATTTTTATTTCACAACCGAATGCAAATCGACCTGCCTCATATGTTGAGAAATAATGCATATGCATAAATAAAAAATTATTTATAAAACAATATGAAATCATCTAATTGTGATAAAACATAAATGATCATAGGTTATTTACGAGTACTCATAACGTGGTAAAAAAGTATAACTTGTCCACATATTATAATATAAGTGAAAATTTATTGATATTATACCCTAAAAGTAAATGTGAATATACCCTAAATGTGACATGCGCATTGTGAATTCAAGTGTCCGATGAACAGGGTTCATTCATATTGATGATAATGACTGAAATAATAAATTATGTATGTCTAGTCTACACACACACACACATATTATATATATATATACACACG